GATATAATTTTTGTTATTGTTGTTCGTCCTTGGGTGACATTGGGAGTAGTCATTAAAAAAAAATCACTCTTTGCACGCACAAAGTTAACAAACGCCACTCAATTATAATCGGGAGCGATGAAGAGTGCAGGATAATAAATGGTGAACAGCATAAAAGCGGCGGACTTGGTGACAAAATCTTGCGCGAGGCTGGACGAAGTTTGGATAAGTGGCGGGGTAAGAGGAGTTGAAGGAGGTGGTGATGGTGGAGTAGGAGGAGGACCTTGTCCTTGCCGAAGTCGTCCTTAACATTGGCGTCATTCATGAACGCGCGGCCCTGTGCGCCGGCACGGACGCGCCCTTTACCCACGGTCAGCTGATCTCCAACCACCAGTCCTCTCTCCCTCCAACGCACGGCGTCTTCCACTTTCCCGTCTCCTTTCCGTTCCTGTTGCCACGTTCTCCTCCTCTGATCAATAACTTTAATGCTACTGCATACACTCCAAAAGAGAAGGGAAAGCCGCCGCCGTCGCCGCACCTAGGACTAGGCCAACCTAAATATCCTTAACCCACACCCACATGTACGCATTGTGCGTAAAGAACTCCCACGCACCTCAACAGCAAACGTAAACCTCGCTCCAAACCACAAACCAACTTTGCAACGCATATGCTACGCACCTGCTCTTTTTTTTACATACACACATATTTTGTATTTCCTCCTCTGCAGATCGATCGTACCTGTTCTCCAATACAAACAGCAACCGCGACCTTACGAACAGAATAAATATTTAATTTTGTTATGAAGCAGTTCTGTTAGCTCTTTTTTTTCTCCAACCAGCATCATTCGATGTTAATTAACAAACGCGCACACAGCGCGGTTCGTTTTTCTGTAACTTCAGCTGAAAAGCAATTATTTATTATATTTTATGCTCTGACCGATGCAATATTTCAATTTAATTAAACGAAATAAAACAATACGAACTTTATTTCAATTAATTCTTTGCAAATGTATTTCGTAGCAATTAATTGAATACATTGTTTGTTTCATTTGTATATCCATCAGTTTCACTTTAATTAAATGCAAAATTATTGAAACAGGTGTTTGAAATAATAAGCAATTATTATTTGTATATATAATTAATTTTGTATAACTTTTAACTACAAATAAAAAATTGTTCATTTTGATAATTTTTTATATTTATAATTTTTTTCTTGTTTCAAATTGAAAACATAACCACCACTGCTTTTATATATGAATTATTTTGTTCAATATATTTTTCATTTGTTTCCTTTTCAATGTAATTAATTTCATTTTTTTAATTTAAAACGAAAATTGAAAAAGAAATCTATTCCTGGTTTCAATTTAACTTTGAGAAGCATTTTTTATTCAAATTCATAAAGTGACAATATTTGCTGATAATAAAAATAAAAATGCATCAAAATATTCCCAAAATTACATTTTGTTAGAAAACATGTTTTTCTTATAGTATAATCAATAAACGGTGCTTTTTCTATTGATTATATAACCTTAGTCATCATTTCAAAATAAAGTACAAAAATAACATAAAATATCAAAGTTTCATACAATTTCTAAGTCAAATATTTTTTATTACTTTTTTAGGTAAATAAGTATTTATAATATTTATTTTTAGAGTAAATCAACTTGACAAGCAATTAATGTGTATTTACAGTATGTTTATTTTGCATCATCGATATTTTATCAACTTCAAATATATATGTAATTTTTTTAATAATTTAATTAGAACAACAAAAAAAAATATGATGAAAATTAAGTGTAATGTAAATAAAAGTTTATATTTAGCGATGCAATAATAAAAGAATTCTGGATATTTGGCAATCTCTATTTTAAACTTGGTTGGCTCAACTAAAAATAGTACTTCCAACAATTTATTGGTCGAATAAAACTGTAATATCGAAAACGTATTACAAAAAAACTCATTACAAGCATAGAACGATTACGTAACCAATATAGTAGAGAGAGTGATATGATTTCATGAATTTAATCGAACTGAATTTGTGTTATTCCAATTAGTTAATGCACGAGCGTATTTGCTTGGATGCATGCGATTTTAAAATTTATTGGATGAATGCCGACATTGATACGACGCAACCATATTGTAATACACCCGGTGGATATTCATTATATTCATTATTTAGCAAGGCCAAATTTCATTAAAAAAAAAATTATATCATTTTTATCGTCCGCTTCGAAAACATGTTCTGCAGTGTAATGTAATATCATTTATACATTGCATCACAGCAGCAATTTCATATATTTCATGTTCATAATTCTGAAATGTAGTGATAAATCATTATTTCCATTTAATAGTAATGATACTGCGTGCAAATTATTGAATATTTCTTAATAAATATTTTGAAAATACAAATTTTAAACAGCTATTGGATTTTTAGCAAATTAACATAAAGTTTAATTGAAAATTTAGAAAATATGAAGCCTTTTTTTGTTATTTTGTAACACAACAGATAAATTAACAAATTTTATTTAATAGGTTTTTCCAGTTTCGGAAGCACACGGTATTACAATTAACACAGTTTATATTTTAATTGATTTACAAAATAGTAAAGTCTAAAATTCTTGGAAATATAGGAAAACAATATCTAGTAATATAGCTAAATGTTAGATTTTTCAGGTTGTTAAAACATAAATCGTGTAATAAATTATATTCCCACATGCGGTGAGAATGATATGTTCCAGTGATTATTGCAATGATGATGATAATAGTAATAAACTTTGTTGGAATCTTAATTCAATTTATACAGGACATAAAGTCCACGAAAAACGGAAACTTTTTTAATAGCCGCAGTTTATAGCTTTTTCCTCCATCAGAGTCTGGATTAATTTAATGCACTTTATTAAATGGACGGCACGGGTGTTTACTGTTTACTTTTACGATTCGCGACATCCTTCCAGAACGAACTCCAAGAAGAGAGGAGCTAAAGAACCACAACGTGCATTAGATACAAATAAAGCATCGAATAGTCCTGGAACGAACCGCAGAGGTATGCGTACTAAACTAATTGAATGTATTCGCAATTAATTTTGATTACGATTTAATTGAAGTTCGCTTCGCAGCTATAGCAACAATATTTTTAAAAGCTCAACCGCAACCATAATTCACGATTTATTGCACGCCAGGTGGCACGAAACTTTGTCCGTTATTAAAGTTTCTATTTTTACTTATTCCTGTCTACGGAAAACCACTTTTGCTAACAATAGCTTCGTTGTTCGTGTTTGTGAACCAAAAGAAAACAGAACAAAAAAGGTGTTTCTTCCTTGTTTTTAAAAGTTAAAATTCAAGTTGAGCAACATTCAAATGTAATTATTTAGAAGAAAAAAAAAAGAAAAACTAGAGGCGGAGACCACAACAGAAAACTGTGGGTTCAATGATATAAGAAATTTTATGTAAGAAAAATAAAAGAATAATCGCGGCGAGTTCATTATAAAGAAAGGTAGAGAGGAATGTAGGAAATAACACGTTTATACTTGGTAATAGTTCAAGTTCACGTAATAGCAACATTTTTTTTATAGTTCGATTCGATTACTAAAACAAATATTTCATTAAAGCCACAACATTTCTTCATGATGCATGAAGTACAAAATTTAACAAAATGAGCAAATACAAAAATAATAAGTATTTTATTTGAATTTAAGGTGAAAAACGTAAATGTTAATATATATTAATTAATAAATTAACTTATTATTAACTATATTTTAAAGTATTTTTTATATAAGAAAATTAAGTATAATTATACATAAAGAAATACTGAAAATAACTCAATTTGTTTCATAATAGTTCACTTAATGTTATTTTTTAGTTGGAATCGATTACTAAAGCAAACAGTGTCAAAAAATGCGTTCGCAAACATATGTAACAAATAAAAAAAACTGTATTAGTGCTAAGAAAACTTTTAGCTGACTAGAAAAATGAAACTACTTTGTATAGTGAACAAATTTGATTATGACCAGTTCATTATAAAAAGATAAAGAAAAATAACACGTTTTACTTGGTTAAAGTTGTTTTTGTTTTAGCTGGAATCAATTACAAAAACAAATAGTTCATTAAAGCATGTTATGCAACAGCTGCTGCTTTAGAATTATTAATATGTATTGTTAATCGAAGTACTGTTACATGGTTAATGAGACATGAGGAAAAAAAAACTTACTAATTGAATTATTGTAAAAAGTTGACAATGTTAAATTTTACATTATGTTATCGACTGTGTTTTTGGATGAAGCTGAAGCGTATGTTATTAAATTCTAGGCAGTTTGTTTTCGATTCGTTCCACGATGTCGAGCGTATTATTAGGAAAGTAATTTAGTATTTATTTCTCTTCGCGTTCTTCTTTTCCTCATTAACTGTACACGTTACTGTATTACGCGCAATTCCAAAATCCAATGCGGCAGAACGCAATTGAATATGCCCATAGATCTTGAACGCAGACTACTTACCAATGGGCGAAGCGGTTTCCGGTTGGTGTGCAAGCAATTAATTGATTTTTGCGTTTTGTTAGGTGGTGGAAATATACATATATATATATACACATAAAAGCGGCCATATTAATGGTAAATGAGGTGGATTTATGCGCTGCGTATTTGGCATTGCACAATGTCGTTTAATAATAAAAATAAAAAAAGGGAGTAAAATGTTACAACATGGGTCAACCCCGAAACCATAAACCTTCGCATGCATGCATTTCGACGTGGCAGTAATTTGGTTTTCGTGTGAGAAAACGTTTCGAGCAAAAAAAAGAGAGAAAAAACAAAAGCGCAACAACAAAAATATTTACGGACGTAAATCAAGTCTGGGGAGACGAGAGAACGAAGCAGCAGGTTTGTTGCCAGGCGGTGGGTATTGAATACACGTACACGGTATATATATTGGCGCGGCCTTGGCCGTTTTTGTTTTTATAGAAGAGCAGGAGAGTAACAGCAAAAAAAAAAATGTATGCGAGATGTAAGAGTAGCAATTAAGGGTCACCTTGTGTCTCGTGTCTGCACTGTAGATCCTCCAAGTCGCTGGTTACCTAGTTGGTAACACCTCTTCCATGGGGGTGACGGTTAGTTGTCTTCGTCGTCGAGGAAGCACAGTTCACCACCAAGGTCCTGGAAGTGGAGGAACTTCTCAAAGTTGAACCTACCGGATGGTCCTCGCAGGTATTGGTGCACATCTTCAAAGGTCCTGGGACCTGGTGCGGAGGCTTGCAGATGTGGCGGCGGCACTGGCGAAGTGTTACGCAATGTCCAGGAGGCCCCGGTTAGGCGGCCGCATTATGGCGCGCGTGCGCCAGGCCCAACCTTGGCATTGAACTTGGATGCGTCACACGCCTGGTGGTCGATACTGCCAGAGCTCTCCTCCTCACACTCTCCTCCTGAACCGGACGACTCCTGTTCGGCCCCCCCACAACATACACATACAAACACACTCGGCAACTGCACAGAAACCACCCGAAATTGCAAGTTTTACCAAATTTCCAATATAGTTACCATGGCCGATCCACCATGAGGACTTGTCGAACCTCAAAGGGTGGAGGGGGAGAGGTAGACCCAGACAATTTATATTATCGCCATTACTGACCTACATTACGTACTTTATTTACACGGGCTGCACTCCTCCTCCCAGCGTTTCGCCTTTTAATTCTTTCCCGTCTCCAATTTCCACTCCAATCGATTTGGACAACACCAACGCAGATCTCGCTTCCCATCGCCGATTATTGTGGAAACCTACATTTCAGGATGATCAATCATTTGATTTGCAAACGCCAGATTTTTACTACTTCCATTTTTAATCTACCTACGCCGACTACGATATATTACCTACAAATCTGATCTATAAAAACTTTGTACAAAACGAAATTTTATGATTATCAACATTTCCTCAGGTAATCAGATAAATTATATCCTAACTACCATTGTCTGATATATTATGAATTTATTTATATAATGAAATGCGTTATTTACCATAAGGATATGTCAGTGCTTCATATAATAATATAACAGTTCTCACTTATATTAATGTTATATAATTACTGAATCACGCCTTAAAACATGACTTAAACCATTTATAATAATCATAAAGCACTATTTCCTTAATCAACGTAACATGAAGATAATACACGTACTCATATAATTAGCCGTAAATAAATTACAGTAAATCATAATTCTTGGTCATTCTGAAATTATACTTTTTAGAACAAACATTATGTTCACATTTCTTTTAAATCTACATGATTTAATAGTATCATTGTTTTCACTTATATTTATTTCATTATAATCCATGGTATGTACATGGTTCTCAACATTGACCTGAACACTTCGAGATTCTTCAGTCATTGACAATATAGTTATTGACAAAATTAGTAGACATTTTCTTCGTGCGCAAATTATTGGAAATAATATTTCTTCGGGTATATAATAATCACATTAAATTTGTTATATTGTCATATAAATTATATCCCTAAATTAATAAAAGTTAATTCATTAAATTATTTTAAGAGCTTTCCTCTTAACAGAAAGTGTTATATAATTTAATGTTACGTTTTTTTATCTTAACAAATGGTAGCAATCATAATCATTCAGAAATTGAAACGTTACAAGTTATGTGGGTTGAATAGTATTGAATAGTCAAACTTTTTACATTTACATTATTTATAATAATATTTTTCTATCATATATAAAATTATATATTTATTAGCATAATATAGTTAGATATTAAAAACAATTGACATTTCCTAGTATAATTATTGATGGAGATACCAATCTTAATAATTCTCATTTCTTAATGGACTGTTAAATTAGTAGTGTGACGTTGTAACATGTTCCAATTTAATTGCAATTGAATGTAGTACTTACTCCAATTACAATTGATTAATAATTAGATTAATTTACTTAATTGTTCTATATTATTTAAAAATACTAAGAAATAATTCATGTTTATGATTGCATGAGGGAATATAAACAATGTAATCACTTTATTTACTATTACACTACATCATATCAATATATTTAATATCAGAACAATTTGTGTTCTTTAGTTTCTCATTGTAAATTCTTTAAGAAAAAAATAACTGTATATTTACTGTAATACAGCAAAATTTCAAACCGCATAAAAATAAACTGCACCAACAGGACTGCACTATTTTTTTAGTATTTACTTTTATTTTGATCAATTATAATTTAGTATGTTTTGAAAATTTCAAACTGTACTATAGTGAATCTGAGGGAAGTCGCACAATACGTGGAATTGATGTATCTATTTTTGTTAAAGAAATTTTACTGAAATAATTCTGAGAAAAAAAAAATATAATTTTAACCTGCAGTAAAAGATCAACAGACAAATTTTCATTTTACATATTTATTAAATAAAATGCATATAATGATGATATAAACATAAAAATTATAGAATCATCATATATAAATGTTAATTTTCTTAGAATTTATAATTCATATTAACTTCTATTATAATAAAATATTTATTTTTTTGTTGTCTTATTATATAATATATTAAAGTTGATTTATGCTTAGAATACAATAAAAAATAGCCAATAAAATCTTCTGATTTCCATCTCTATAAATTGCAATCTCTTTAATGCAAACTCATAATCGTTTCAATGCAAATAAATAAAACATTACCGCTGATTTTATAGCGTCGTCGTCTCAAATCTTTATTGCAGTAAAAAAGTTTACTTACCCAATTCAAGGTAGATTTCATCATCACCAGTTTAAGCTGAAAATAATAAAAAAAAGCAAGTTTATTTATAAAGTCGAATAAATGTTGAACAAATTATAAAAACCGCTGAAATATATTTCATCTTCGATAATTAACAAATCATTTTACTAAAAAGATTGTGGATGAGTTGGCATAGTTTCAATACCAAAAGTAGACAAAGTAGTTAAAAAACAAACAAAAAAATAAATATTATATAAAGGATTTATACACTTTATAGAATCATATGCTACATAGAGTATAGTAGTTACGATTAGTAATAGAGTACAATAGTTTCTTACGATTTCCATTAACACATTTTTCTGAAATGTATATTTGTTTATATTTTCTGAAACTGAAAACCTTATGTTTTTATATGTATGTGTTTCAAATAAAGTTGCTTTTTGAGAACTGAAGTTTATAAATTCGGAACTACCAGTATACAATGCGTCATCGCAACAGTTGTCAAGTACGTTCGTTTGTGGTACAAAGATCAAAGAAGGTTTTCCAGCATAATCTCGACAACTGTGACATTATGATGACACAGAATACGTCTAAAGTTAAAAAAAGTAAAATTGCCAACTGGTAATGTGAGAAATCCGAAACAGTTTCCATTACACACTTAATATTCCTCATACCATTTAGTTATATAAAATAAATTTATTATCTATGTAAAACAATTACGAGCGCCAATGAAAGCATGTAAATATTTAATTATAGATTCCAATGAAGATGCAGAAATGCTGCTGCTCAGTGATTTATAATGACTTTCGTATAATTAATAACATTGATGAGGATATTAAGCTCTATTTCTTTACGCTTTCTGTATTATTACAATCTTATATAGATATAAAAATACTTAAACATGCTACCAGATGTAAATGTATATTGATGATAAATTACAGAAATTTTATAAATAATATTACAACTTTTATATGTATATTCTAATAATTGTCTTTTTCGTCTTTTTAAATCAAAAAAATAATTATTTCCAATTTACATACTAATTTCATTATATTAACATTATTCAAATTCTAATTAATGTTTTTATAATCATTTTAAATACAGCAATAGTGCGTATTCGATCAGTCCGGAATAAATATTAACTGATCAAAATAAAAATAAATTTTGTAGTTTTAATCTCCTCGAATAGTTCGGGAGATTAGCAAAACCGCACTATACGAGGTATTGATGAATTTACATCACTGCCCCAATAATTTAGACTGTTGTCAGACAATTTTTTATATATGATTTACATAGTTAACGATCACTTTACATAAATTCTTTAACATACGTTAGTATCCTGTGAACGTGCAAATGCACATAAAAACGGAAAGTCGGACATATGCATAAAGAATACATATTGTGTATTTGAGTTTTCACCAAGTTTGATAAATATAACGTCATAAAAACAATCTTAATGTAATAAAATAAGTAGATATAAGTGACATTCAAAACAATATAAAGCATATAGAGCCGGGTTTCGAAATAATGTATACGTTCGTATGAACATTGCGTATATTCTTTAGAACAAAGACAAATGTGCGATGAACTCGCATTTGCTTAGCGTACAGTAAGTTGTACACCCTCTATGTACGTTAAGTGAGTTCGTAGAATAAGTAATAAGTCGTTGAATCAACTTTAGTCAATTTTGTAGATCAACGTTTCTCAACCTATGAATGTAAAATGACAGCTGTCACCATTTGTCTACCTTGATCCGAAAAATACGGCACTCATTAATTTTAACTGCATTATGTAAAATTACATAATTTGTAGTCGGAATAAAATGAATGTCAGTTAATGTAAGTTAAATTGATTATGGAAATGGAATATGAAGTTATGATAAATAAACAAATCGTTATATACCATATGATTTAATGACAATGTGTACGTTCGTATGAAGGTTGTGTACGATCTTTCGAATAAACACAAATGTGCGATGAACTCGTAGTGCTTAGGATCAATAATAGAGACGTTGAGTCAATTTTAGTTAATTTTGTAGATCAGCGTTTCTCAACCTATGGGTCGCGTTAAATTATGAATGGGTCGCAAAATGACAGCTGTCACCATGTGTCAACGGCAATCATTACTTTCAATTACATAATTTATAGTCAGAATAAAATGAATGTCAGTTAATGTAAGTTAAATTGATTGTGGAAATCGATTATGAAGTTATGACCAATAAACAAATCGTTATATAACAAATGATTTAATGACATTGTATTAGAATAATGTTGAATTGTAAACACTCATTCATTAATAAAAATTAAAAAAAAACTACTACTAAGTTGGGATAATATTATGTGAATGAGATAGAGAGAAAAGAGCACTTCGATTCGTTTCTAGTCTGAGTCAGCGACTCGGCATTTGGTTTCCCCCATAATCATTTAACAGCAATCTTGACATTGTCCCGACGCACGTACTTGCATTACACAACGGCCGTCTGTGTTCTTACTGCAGCTATAATATGCTTTTATGCAATGCCTCCCGTCTGCACGTTTTCGCGCGAACGCATACAACACAATTTGCATAACTTAATCTTACATCGAATACCGGAAATGCCCAATAAAATGGGATCAGATTTTCCTCGGGGGCTGCAACATCACAGCTCCATGCCTAGATCAAACAATAGATCCATAGCGCTAATTTTACTGCGTCCAAGAATATCATGCATCCATCCAAGAACCAAAGGTTATAATTCAACTTTCCTCTGCATGAATAATACATTCGCTCAGTCAATGAATGCAATATGCTGTTACACGTCCTTTATATGAGAGTTGAAGTGAGGCCAACTATTAGAAAAGCGAAGGGAAAGAGTAAACAATTTTATATCAATTAAGTTTGATATGCATGTACGTGTATAAGGTAATTTATAAACCAGAAATGCTTGGCATTTTTTCCTTCCATTACATTTTGCTATTATTACTACAAAGAGTCTTATTCCCATGAATTTCCAGCGATTCATTGTGCTATAAAATGTATAATAATAAGTGAGATATAAATTATTTCCTTAAAATTACGAAAGGCTGAAGGTATTTTTTTTTTCAGAGGAGGTATGGTATTCCCACATCAATATATTAAACCACCCAGAGGAGATTTGCTTTTAGCATACGCACGAATTACAGATGTGTACAAATGGTTTCGAGTCCCCGGACACACATACGCATTAGTCTTAGTCGCGTTAATCCTGGAAATCGTCGTATAAAGAAAGACACATAAATCTGCCATTATTATTGTTCGCCGACGAATTCGTAATGGGACTTTCCCCATCTAACTGTGACGTTAATAAAAACGAATCAGTAGAAACATACACATGTTATGTAAACAACAATCAATTATTCTTTGATTTGTTATTCTTTTGTTTAAACAAAATTCAAGGTTAATTGTAATAAGCGATTAAAGAAATAATAAAGAAAAATAAATATAATATTATATTTTTTTGGTCCTAAGCTATGATAAAACAATGCAATTATCATAATCTCTATATAATTCCATTCCAGGATTTCCTTGACATGATTTAATTTAACTTTTTTCTTGCTTCAGTCTCGAGCTTTTTTCCATTACAAGACGTATTCTATCTTATTTTTTTTCTGTAATTCCTACAGCCAGATTTATTAAGCCATCAAATGAATTATGTGCGTTAATAAAAGCTCCGACCGTAGATTTTCCCTGCACATCCTTCTCTCACTCAACCCATATTTATGATGGAGATTCGCGGAAGATACTTAATTTGAAAATATTGCAGTGTCAGACGTACATTTCTGGGATGTAAATGTTTCCTTGTTTCAATGAATATTATATCTGTTGAAAAATGCACTAAATTTGTAGTACACCTGAGAGATATTAATACAATATTCAAAGATTCTAGGATTTCTTTCATTTGAGAGTTAAATCATAATGTATATCAAAATTATGTTTAATATGGTTTTATATATGTTAATGTAATTTATACAAAGCTTTTGCAATCTCCATTTAGTTTCAAGCCGTGACATATTTATTTCTTATTTTATTTATGTAATCCTGTTACATTTCTAATAACGTAAATTATATTAATTTTAATATAACTTTACTTTAATATATAAATACGTAAATAAAATAAGTTATGAAATTTTTACAAAACTCAATAGAAATTTATTTATTTATAAGTTATGTTTCACATTTCCAATTAGATAAAGTGTGTCTAATGATTTTTTCATTGTGAAAAAGAAAGAAATTGTCACTTAGTTCAGTTTTTTATATTCTTTATTTGAAATTAGTCAATATTTATTTATGAGCTAAGAAATTGTATCAATTAATACAATTAGGTAAATGTGTATTCAGCTCAATATACTTTTACCTTCACTTCAGACACAAATAAATACAGCTCATATATAAATATAGGTGTTACAAGTTCAACGAGGGCATTGCATTTACATAATACAAGCTATGATAATTGCAGACTAATCCCAAGAAAACCAGATAAGTCGCTTATGAAATGCATATTTTGGCATTTGAGAATGGTTTCCAACCAGTTAAAAGAGATAAGACCAGTTATTTATCGTTTTTCTTAATGTTATAACGCATAAATCACATTAATAAATCGCCGGAGCCGATAAAATTCTGCAATAAAGCATCGATCTGGTCGGTCATATAAACAGACTGTGCACTGCCTCCGCATTTATTTTTTACGTAAGGAGATATCGAACATAACATAAACAAATTACGTTATTTAGGTCAATAACCAAGATTAATAATACTAAAAAGATATACGAGAGTAGTAGAAACGTAAGGCTGCATAAATAGAACCTTAAATGTCATTAATTACGACAGACAATTTGATTGATTTAATCTCGACGTCATGTGACACGCCCTTTCGCCACTGGTAAATCAAGGAAACGGGAAATTACGCAATCGCTGACGCAACAATGGACGCGGCTCTCCTATTTTGCTTTCTATCAAAATTGAGAACGCATGTGATCATAGGAAGACCGGTTTAGTTCAGCAGTTGTCACTTCCAAGAAGTTTACAAGTTTTTCCCTTTG